AGATCGAGAAGTTCAACGAGATCCCCGTCAAGGAGATGCGCGCCGCGTCGCTCACCACGCTCGAACTGGTGAACAAGGGCATCGGCGTCGTGGGCGGCTTCGTCGTTGCGGGTCTGATGCCCGTCATGGCCTCGCTGAAGTCGCTCTATCTGAGCGACAATGCGCTGTGCGGCGCAACGAAGTTTGGCGAAGGCACGTACGATGCGACTGGCATCAAGGCTATCGCAGACGCCTTGCGCGACAGTGCCTCGACGCTGACGAGCCTCAACCTCGCGGACAACTATCTCGCTGACGAGGGCGCAAAAGCGCTCGCACCAGCCATCGCGGCCAGCACGTCCTTGACCACCCTCGTCATCCACTCAAATCAAATTGGGGATGAGGGTGCCAAAGCACTCGCGCCAGCGATTGCTGCGAGCGCCTCCTTGACGGCAGCAAATTTGCTGCGGAACGACTTCGACGTGGACGCTGCCTCCATGCTCCTCAAGGCCAAGCAGGAGCACCCCACGCTGACCACTCTGTGCGGTTTCAAGGGCGACGAGACCCGCCTCAACTTCTCTCGCCAGAGCCTCCGCCCAGCGGATGCGATGCTGATCGCGCCTGAGATCAGCGTCATGGCCTCGCTAACGGCGGCCAATTTGCTCTGCAACAATCTCGACAAGGAGTCGGCCACCATGCTCGCTACGGTTGCCAAGGAGAAGAAGATCTCGCTCTGTGGCATCGGACTGGAGCAGACCAGCGCCGACTTCCGCGGCCAGGGCTTGGAGCCGAACGATTCCATTCTGATCGCCTCTGATCTTGGTGTCCGGGCCTCCCTAACGAAGGTGCGTGCCGCCACACCCCCCTCCTTCTTCGTGCCTCTGAGGGCGGCTTGCTTGCACAGCTCAACGTCCGCTACAACTACAACCTCGGCGAAGAGGGCAAGGCGGCCATCAAGGAGGCCGTGCGCGGTAAGGAAGGCTTCGAGCTCTACCTACCTGACGGCGAGCTCTACCTACCTGACGACGACGACGACGACGACGACGACGACGACGACGACGACGACGAGGAGGAGGAGGACGATGGCGACGAAGCCGATTACGAGTAAAGGCGCCATCAGCCCCGTGCTGACGGAGGCGCATGCTGCTTGCCTGCCCCTCCATTTGCGCCGATGCCTCAAAACACGCTTCTCTGCCCACACCTGAACTCACTGGGTGTGAGGACGAGGCGGCCATCAAGGGCGTGCGTGGTGGGCTCACGCCGAAAGAGGCCGGGGAAACGACCACGCGTGCGATGCGTGTGCCTGGGGTCTTGGGTACGCGGGAGTAAAGAGTGGTGTAGCGAGGAGATGCGCACGGTCAGGTCCGTGAGCCCGGGCGTGAAAAAAGGTCCCTTTTACACGCCCGGGCTCAGAAAAAGTACGCCGGTTGGCAGCGGCAGTTAACGCACGCTCGAGCGGTTGTCCGTTGGGCATGGGCTGAGCTCTTGCCTTACCTTCATGCGCAAACGCTTTCATAACTCATATATAATGCTGTAGTACTCTTCAGGACTCTTGATAAGCGACTGTACCACGGAGCACAGAGCGCAGCAGACAGGACGGCGGCGACGGCGGACATGGCAGAGACGAGTGTGAAACAAAGGGCGGCGGGCATGGAGGGCGGTAGCGACGGGGATGGAGACGGTGACGGTGGCGAGGAAGAGGAAGGGGGTCCATTTCCACCAGACAGCGAGAGGGGCAGGGAGGAAAGGGGGAGAGAGGAAGCCAACGCGACGTGCGCAGAGGATGAGGATATAAACTGGGACGACGCAGCGGAGGGGATAGGCGAGGGAATCGAGGGACCGGAGGGCTTTCGCGACAGCGACGATGACGACGAAGAAAGGGGAGGGGACGGAGGGGCGACACGCAGGAGGAGCGAAATCGCTAACGGCCCGAGCAGAGAGGGCGACGGCGGGGCACGAGGGAACAACGGAGACGCTACCGATGACGCGAACCGAGGCACGGACGCCGGCGGGGACGGGGAGGGCGACAGCGACGTCGAGGTTGACGCAACCGTATCGAGAGCGCCACCCAAAAAGGGGCGGACAGCCATGGAGGTCACCGAATGGAGGGCGAACGGCACGATGCGAAAAGGCAGGGCGAGGCGGATGGAGAAAGAAGTGCCGAGAAGGCCATGGTGGAGGGGAGGGACGGGAGGACGAAAGAAGGGCGAGGAGGACGAGCGGCCCGCACAGACCGCGAGCAGACAGCGCCTG